TCTCTCTTGGGGGGTGGGTCCTCGTGACTCAGTGGGACTACCTGTATAGTTAAAAAAAACAATCTGACCAATTAAATTACCAAACAGGTCACAGTGGACCCATGAAACCAAGTTTCATGAGTCCACTGGGGAGAGGGGGAACTCCCCGCACCCCATTCTCCCGTTCTCTCATCCCCTCCCCGTTGAGCCCCTAGGGAGGGGGAAACGTGATGAAGACAACAGCACAAGCTCGTGTTCAGAAAAAAAACATTTACTGTACGCATTTGTGTATGTTACTGGTACATATTTAAATAAAAGTCTGATAAAATATTTCTGTGTAAATATGTCAGGTTACAACATGGAGCAGCCTACAAATTTAGTGGGCGTGGCTTATATTCAGGTGTGCTCAATATTCCAGAAATTACGGTGGTTGGAGACACAAAACTGGGAGAAAAAAAACTTTTGCTTTGAATCATAAATTGGTACTTTTGCCACCATATCTGGGTCAAAATTGTCAGAACAGGTTAAACATATGACACAAATGAAAGTGCCAATTATTTTGTTCCAAAGTATCCTAAATATGTTTCAATTTCTTCTAATTTTACTCCCAATTTTGTTGCTTTCCCAACGTGTCTGGAATGTAAAATTCTCTTTCATGCCTCCATTTAGTGTCAGGGGTGCCAGCAACGGGGGGCCAAGGGTGTCAATGGCCACCCCTTAAGAATTGGTAGTCCCCCCACTGCCCCATATGGCCAGACAGTTTTATCCTCTTGCGGCCCAAGCTTTTGCTTGTTGTGCATTTTTAATTTCCCTATAGGATCAGTAGAACAACAACAAACATTGTCTGTGAGAAATCAAAATATATAAATATATATTTTTTGTTTTTGTTTAAAATCTAGTCCTTCTGAATAAGAACAACCGGTCAGTGTCCTTAACAGCAGAGTTTCGGGAGATTAAACGCAGATTTTTATTTTTAATAAATATTAATTTAGGAGAGGACCACCCCAATAAAAATTTCGATAGGTGCTACTGGTCACCAACCCAAAGTTGTCTCACTTTTTCTCACACTTCCTGTTTCAGGGAAACTGAATTAAGTCAAGTTGTAGATGCCCGCAACCACTATTTTAAAAGCAAACTGTTTTTTGTTCATATTTTTTAATGTGTTTTTAATTTTCCAGTGACATTCTGCATCTCGCATGAGGAAATGCAGAATGCGTGCACGCATTTTAAGACATTTTGGAGATCCCTTCGGGTTTGCCATGTTTCCAGTTGGTCACCAACAGTCGCAGTGCAGAGAGATGCAGCTTTAGGGTTGTGTAGTGTGTCGTGCGTGGTGTACTCTCCGCCTGTCTCGACAAATTTTGTAGACATCCGTGAGACGCTGGAGCAGTTTTTTCGTCCCCTTGTGGTCAAGCTTTGCTAAATTTTAGTTGTTTTTTTTAAACAAAACTTTATATTTACTTCAAAAAGAAGAGGATCACATTTCAAGGTTAAATAAATCATTAATTATTTATGCAATTCCAAATATACGCCAAATAAATCCAGTTATTTGCAGTGCTCGTCTGGGGTCAGGCATTGAAAAATCTTTGCTTGAGAAATTTTCTTGTAAAATAATTGCGGTCTTTGCAGACGTCTGGAACTCTTAGTTTAGTTTTCAACATCCTAGAGCACTAGAGCTGTATGTTCGTTGGTCATTTACCTGCAAACTCGCTTCAAATTTTCACAGAGTTAATGCAAACGTGTCGATCGGTCACAGCCCAATGAGGTACTGCTCTAAACTACACAAGTTGTGATGTGCAGTGTAGTGAAGTGTCACTATATATGAAAAATAAAACTGAATTTTCAACCAAATTACCCGTTCTTCCCTTTAATTAATTTCTAAAACGTCCGCAGTTAAATTACTGAACTAAAATTCCCTCATTTACAAATGTTTGACCTTTATAATACATTTCAAGGTCTCTTTTGGTTTATGCTGAACTAGCTATAGCAAGAATGCAAATGAAAATAACAAAATCTAATACAAGTAGAGAAATTGCATTTCCTGAGAAAATGCAGTGTGAATCCTTATTGCAGAAGAACTTGCTGAAAAACATGCTGAAATGTAGCTGAAATGGATGAACAAGGCTAACTTAGCAGAAGAACACATACAGTATTTGCTGAATTAGATTTCAATGGGCAGAAATTAGCACAAAGTAAGGAAATTAGCTTAAAAAAGCTGAAATTAACAACAA